AAATTAAGCGAAAACATTTAATTCGCCCTCTTAAGGCTGGCTGCAGTATAGTCATAAATCTAGCCCTCTCCATGTAAATTAATAAAAAAACGGATTGTGCTCCATTCCCATCATCAGAGGGGCGTGTCCTGTCATGAGTTTTTCTCCAACTCTGCTTCTGGAATAGGGGGTGACGGTTCTCAGCATCTTGTCTTGCTTAAGCAGATTGGAAGGACCCGGCTGACTATCACTGAGTGGCGCCATCATCTTTCCAACAATCTATGCCTTTACTGTGGGGAGGCGGGGCATATGGTGGTTTCGTGTCCAGTGAAGGGGCGGCACTTACCATCCAAGGGAGGGCAAATGGTGAGCATCATTAATACTCTGCTGCCCTCTGGTGGTCGTTCTGTTCTCCAGGCCTTATTGCAATTTGATGGGGCTGCTCTTCAGGTGTCGGCATTAATCGATTCTGGAGCAGAGAGTGATTTTATGGACACCGGCATTTCCGTACACTTAGGTGTTCCACTTGCTCCACTGGCCGAGCCCATTTCAGCCAGGACTCTCTGCGGCACCCATCTTACTAGGATTAACCATTCCACCAAATGTATTACTCTCACCCTCTCAGGCAGTCATGCAGAGAATATTTGTTTTCTCCTCATTTACTCTCCCTCCAGTCCAGTGGTTTTGGGACACACCTGGCTGGTTAAGCATAAACCCCACATTGACTGGGCTCTTAATTCAATGCTGACGTGGAGCACTTTTTGTTTATTTCAGTGTCTGGGTTCTGCGTTTTCTCTTGTAATGTTTTGTTCTGTGCTGCAGGAGGATCCGATGAGCCTGGAGGGTGTACCAGAGGTTTACCATGACTTGAGATCAGTTTTCAATAGGTCCCGAGCTTCATCTCTTCCTCCGCACCACCCATATGACTGTGCGATAGATCTGTTGCCTGGCACTTCTCCACCTACGGGGTGCCTTTACTCTCTTTCCAGGTCTGAGAGGGAGGACATGGAGAAATATATTCATGATTCTCAGGTAGCTGGCATCATCTGGCTTCCTCTCTGGCTGGGGCGAGGTTCTTCTTCGTAGAGAAGAAGGGTGGTTCGCTACGTCTCTGTATAGATTATCGGGGCTTGAATGACATCATGGTTAAGAATCACTATCCATTGCCGTTGATGTCATCTGTCTTCGAGCTTTTGCAGGGGGTGACCATTCTTACGAAGTTGGACCTCCGCAATGCTTATCACCTAGTTTGGATTAGGGAGGGGGATGAATGGAAGACCCCCTTTAACACCTCCACGGGGCACTTCGAATGTTTGGTCATGCCATTTGGGCTTTCTAACTCCCCAGCGTTCTTCCAGGCATTCATCAATGATGTGCTCAGAGACATGCTCGACCGGTTTGATTTTTTTACCTCAATGACATTATCATTGTATCTTATCTTCTCCCAAAACGAGTGTGACCATTTTCAGCATGTCAGGCGAGTGCTGCACTGGCTGCTTGAGAATCGTTTATTTGCCAGGGTGGAGAAGTGCGAGTTTCATGCACAGCCGGTTCTGTTCTTGGGATTTATTCTTTCACCCGAGGGTATCAGAATGGATCCTTCTAAGGCTAAAGCGGGTGCTGATTGGCCCACCCCAGATAGTCAGAGCGGTCCAGCGATTTCTCGGTTTCGCCAATTTTTACAGATGGTTTATTCAGACTTTTGGCCAGGTTGCCCTTCCTCTGACCGGTCTTACCTCCACTCAAAAATTTTTATGTTGGTCGCCGCAGGACCAGGCTGCATTTTCAAGCTTAAAGAGTCACTTTCTTTCGACTCCCATTCTTACTACTCCTCATCCGTCTCATCAGTTCATTGTGGAGGTGGATGCGTCAGAGGTGGGAGCAGGGGCAGTTTTGTCCCAGAGATCACCTTCGGATGACAGAATGCATCAATGTGCCTTTTTTTCTCATCATTTAACCCCCTCGGAATGAAAGTATGACATCGGGAAAAGGGAATTTCTGGCTGTTAAGTTGGTTCTGGAAGAGTGGTGCCACTTGTTAGAGGGTGCAGAGGTCCCGTTTATTGTTTGGACCAATCATAAAAACCTAGAGTACATCAGCAGCACTAAACGGCTAAATTCTTGACAGCCTCGCTGGGCACTTTTCTTCTGTCGGTTCAATTTCAACATCTCCTACCACCCGGGGTCCAAAAATGGTAAGCCTAATGCACTTTCACAGATTTTTGAGGTTGAACCTGGATCCACCATCCCTGTGACCATTCTGCCTCCCAATAAGGTCGTAGCGATGGTCACCTGGGGCATGGAGTTGTAGGGATTTCTAGTACATGAACGGACACGGATATGCCTCTATCAGCCATCATGAGGCTTCGAATTAATTCAATCAGGAGACAACAAAGCTATCTTTTGTATCAGGACTAAAAAAAACCCTTTCACGACATATGGATACCTCGTGATCGCGAATGTATAGAACTAGTATATCCAGTAGGAAAAGGATGAGTAAATTAACTGATGCCCTCAGGCCCGCGAACACGAGATCTATACAGCGTGACTGTCGCATGACCCATTGAACATCTGCTTTCTGCCCTGACTGAAATCCCTTTTGTTACAACAAAGGAAACAGAACCTGGCATGGCGATTTTAACAGACAATCGTTTAAAACGTATAAGTAGTGAAAATGTATCCACTGTATGTGTTATGCCGTATATATATATATTTGATGTGTTTATCGAAACCATGATATCTCAATCTTGGCCTTATAACTTTTCTTTTAGTGATTACGATTACTGTGTATGCAAAATACCTGTTGTTTGAGCTCGAATGAGAGCTTGTCTTATTCGCCAAACATTGGTGTTAGTGAAAAGTTTATATTTTGTATCATTCTCTGGTGATAATACTGTTATCAGAAGATATTTAAAACTTGCAGAAATACTCTCCACAAACAGCATGCGATTCATGCATGATAAGGAACAGTATGGGGCGTGGCTAAGCCACCATCTGATTGGACAGCGACCTGTGGGCTGGACAAAAGTCAGCCTGCTTAAAAATTGGACACAAAGCCCTCTCGCGCTGTCTTACGCTCGGGCTCGCACTCTCACTCAAAAGAACTTTGGCTTTCACCTTGGTGAGCGCGACAAAGCGCCCATGCCGTACCATCGCACAAGCGAGACCATCTAAGAACTCAAACACTTCAGAGAAACACGATCTTCAAAGTCTTGCAAACTCAGGCTAAGTGTAACACAACAAATTTGAAATCGGTTTAATCAGGTGGACTTGGGATATTCAGATCCGAGTCCTCTCAAAACCTGAATGAATTAATAATAATTAATTCCCTACAATTACAAATGAATAAGTAATTTCATTACAGAGTCCAGAGTCCGCACTGCTCTGCATGACATCACAGTTCCCACGGGGTGCCCTGAGAGCCTGTTGTTTGTGCCTGAATCGGTCTGAACCAGCCCTACAGTGACCAATTCCATCAGCGTCATGGTGAGTCCTCCGGGGACATCTGTAGCGTCTGCGTAGGATCATGAATGATCTTTGGGTTTTATGGCTTAAGAGACCCTTTTAGCTTTTGACATTTGCATATAAATTACAGTCCTGGTCACAGACGTTACACTTATATGGGTGCTAAATGTCAAATGGTTCCCCCCCACTCTCAAAGAGATGCTAAACAGTTTCACCACTCGCGCCTTCATTTGGAGTTTCAAACACATTCCAAAGAGACGTAAATGACCCCCGGGGCCAGGCACAATGGGCCTGGCTGACCAAGCAAACTAACACAGGCACCAATGGACCCACACACACACACATAAAGGCATTTCTTTATTTAGACTATAATTAATCAGTTATAATTGTATCTGGTATATGCATGTGTTGTTTGTATGTTTCCCCATTGTATTAGCCTAGTTACAACTCTTTATATGTATCAGTTAGACTCTCAATGCTTATATTCAGGTATATGAGTGTATCTCTGCTTTAAGATCTTCTAGATGTTTCGTTCTTGGTATCAAAATGATCAGCTCTTTATTCCTCAAACAATGATCTACACTATGTGATCGTGAAATGCATCTTACTATTTGTAGCATATTTTGGGTAAAACTGCACCGATCTTCCAGACCAGCAATAAACATGCAAATGGGCCATAAACAACAGACAAAGAAAGTTTCTCCCGCTCAAAATTCAGGCCTCTGATTGGCCATTCCACCCAAAAGGGAGGTGTGCATAGGAACCCTCAAAAGTGATTAGCCCGAAATAATCTGGGCTCAGAAACCCTCTTCGTTTGAGACAACACCTTTTCCAAGACTCTCAAGATCTTCCTCTTGAGTTTTTATTTTCCGGCAGTTTTTATCTTCAAGTAACTTTAGTCGCTGTGGACTTTTCCTTCTTCAGAAGAACCAGAAGTAAAACCTCCAGCTCACTCCTAACGAACTTATCAAAGACCTCCGTTGTCTACCTCATCAGGACTCTTGTTCAGCAATCGAAGCCAATGCAAGTAACCGTTTACAATTATTTAGATGCGTGTTTAAGTTTCAGCCCCTTTTTAAGGTGATTTTTGATTCTTTGATGATTTTCAAAGGTTGTGGTTAAGTGATGTGAAATACTGCCAATCTTTTCTTTCCTCTCTCTTTTTCTTACTTTGCTTCATTCTGTATATATGTGTTTTGCTTAGTTAGTTATATGTTAGATATAGTTTCATTTATTAAATCCCTTATATTCACACATGATTGTCTCTGTTGCTGCTCACAATTCAAGTCAATGAATGTTCCAACCCTTGCTACATATGTTAAATTACTGCTAGCACTGCATAAATAAGAAAAGATTATTCTTCCTTGGCCAGGAAAATAATCTTTCTTTGAATTGATAAATGATTATTTTGTCTGCTCGGTGGACGGACAGATCAAGTAATGGTAATATTGATTCTGCTACAGTTAATTCAAAGATCTAATCTAAATATTTATTATGAATCATAACCAGTTATAATTCGTCATAAATATTTCCCTTTTTGAGTTGAAAAACCCTACAGTTTTGGTGGAGATACGCGGGCACATTCAAACTTGGTTTGTGAGCAAACAGTATCAATTTATTTGTGTTTTTATATTATGCGCGCTTAGAGTGAGACAAGTCGCAGCGCGAACTCACTCTTTTGGATTGGATGGTTAAAAGCCACCTCCAGTACTGTATTTTAACAGCCTCTATTTGTCTAACATTTAGTCACTGTTAATTGTTAAAGTAAACTGCAGTTCATAATATTAAAATTGTTCTCTAAAGACGAAGGAATCTCTTTACAGTACATTTTAATATTATCAAAATCGCCTGTTGGAACGAAGAAATCTTCCTGCATTGCGATAAAGATAGATTTGAGCGATGCTCCTCTTATCATCTTTTAAAGGCCTTATTTTGATCGTATCGCTAGATTGAAGTCATTGCGAAGTTCCAATTTCATTTAACTAGACGATCTAACTCCCTTAGGTTTAACCATCAGAGTAGCTATCTAATGCGTGCCTAAATGCAGATTTGATCATAAGAACACTGTAAGCCAGTAGACGGATTGAAATGTAAATGGGAGCTTTTAAAACCTTGATCAAGTGAAATTTGCATAACAACAGCGAAGAAACCCTGTTGCTCATAGTATTTATTTGTGTACTGGCAGCGAAGAAATCCTGCTACACACCATTAAGCAGTTAAGTTGCACAAACCGTAAGAATCTGTTGGGATTTGACTCTCAATGTTCTTGTGATAACTGCAGTAAATTTCGTTAGAATGAGAATAGTCTCACACTAAACGCTATCAGTCTAAGCACGATTGGAGTTAAGGCACAGTACCTTAAACTAACACTAGAGGGCAGGCTGTTTAAGTATCTAACACTTCTTGAACTCCTTCTACCTTCCTGTTTTCACCTTGGGTGGGCGCACCCACTCCCCCTTGTGGGCATTCTCTGCTAGGTCGACTTGGTACTCTAATTTGTTGATTTTAATTTCCCTTCTGCTTCATCGGTCATTATCATTCTAGCCATTCTAGTTACCTGCAGTTTCATTTTTAATTTTATTTATTCATTTATTTTTATTTCTTGTTTTCGTATTAGTTTTTCATATCCAGTACTATTTTTGTTTTTCTTTATTATCTTTTATTACGTTTATAATTTTGTTTGTTTTGTCCTTTTTTTTAAAAATTATTATTTTATTTTTTTTATTTTAATTTTAATTTTTAATCAGGGTCTCTCCCCCTTTTCTCTCCCACTTTACCACTCACTTATTTAAATTTAGTTTAAACAGTGTTTGAATTCAAATTTAAAGTTAATTTCTGTATTCTAGCCATTTTTGTTCACCTATAGGTAACACTCCCTCTAGTGCTTAGTTGGTGAAGTGACAGTTGCCTCCACGGCGGATCGCAGTGAGCTGCCACGGGATCCAGATTGAATCACCTCAATCCATCACTAAGCCTAGCCATAGAATACTGACCCAAAATTAGGGTGCTCCTAAATCTTTAAGGTAATTAGCCGCTCCACAGGCTGCCACACTAGATGTTATGACCCAGCAGCGCCCTCTACTCGGTAGGCCCTGTCATAACCCCTAACAGCAGTAAAAGGCTTAAACCTGCTCTCTCCTCTATCCCTCTCTGTGTTTTGATTTGTTGATTTGTTTGTTTTTCATTTTGTTCTGTTTTGTTTGCCTAGAGACCGAACCTTTGAGAATCATCAGGGAAGGCTGAGTAATAGATTGACGACCCAAGCTGCCAAAGTCTTAAGACGATCACGCTGTCAACAATCTGAGTTAGATCCTTTCCGGTGCCCCCCCCACAACAATTAGACACACCGTGCCATTCACGGCCGAGATAACAGGTGTCTGGTCTACACTCCGCAAACTGTTTGTACTCCTCAGACAGACCGTGCATAGAACGTATAATTACTATAATTGCAGCCTGCTAACGCTGTAAGGACTTGCATTGGCCTTTTCGTGCTGTCCCTCTCTCCCTCTCTCCCTCTCTCTCTCTCTCTCCCTCTCTCTTTTCACCAGTGAGCCAGCATGTCTCGATCATCCAGCCCTGATGCCCACTGGGATCGACTAGCGTCCTGGCTGAGTGCCATAACTGGTACACTCCTGTCTGAAGCAGCCGGCGGCCTGCAGCACCTGAGCCGGGAACAGCTCGACGACAACCTGAGCGCCCTGATGTCACACGATCCGACACAGGACTACAGCCACAAAGATCTCACCAAGATCCTCGGGCCCCTCGCCCACAACCTCCTCGCTCAGGCAAAGCTGGGAGAAGCAAGCATCTCCCGCATGGAACAGGAAGCAGCAGCGCTGAAGCTCCAGGCTGAGGAGGCTCAGAGAAACCTGGTGCTTGCTCAAAGTCAACTGGACCAGCTAACGTCGGAGACTCAGCACCAGCACAGGACGGCGGATGAAAAGGACCCAGAGCTGCAGGAGGAAGTAGAAAGACTCCAGAAAGCCTTAACTGATCTCCGTGTAGACACAACACGCCGAGAGCAGTGGGAAAAGGACACCAGAGAGGAACTAAGTGAAAAACTTCAGCGAGCCGAGGCTCTCCTGATGAGAGCAGAGACTGAACTCAAAGAGAGAGATGCTAGGGCCAGGGCCTGTGAAGGCCACCTGCAAAGTTCCCGGGCTGAAGTCAGTGCCCTGGCCCAACAAAGAGACTATTTAAAAGATGAACTTGATACGGTTCACCGAGAGCTTAAATATGCATATAGACTGCAAAGTGACTCTGAAAGGGAAATGCACACCACAGAATTTCCCCTAACCAGCAGATTGATACCTCCTAGTCAAGGGTTTCCAGTTCGAAAGGGGGGTGAGAGCCCACTGCTCAAGACATCACCTGCCAGCATCCCTGAACCCCCAGCAGCAGCAAGGGGGTGGGAGCCTTTTCAAAGGCTGTCTTCCAGTCACGGCGTGTCACCTAAAGAATTGGATAAGCTGGCTAGAAACATTCCCACTTTCACTCCAAACCCTGCAGGAGGCCACGATGTGCACGCCTACTTAAAAGACATTGACTTTCACTTGCAAACTGTTGCCAATGTTACCACACGAGACAGACTCTATCTGCTCCGAATCACCGCTAGCCGTGAGGTGAGGAGCTTTCTAGACCGGCAGCCAGAAACGGTCGAAGTGGATTACCAGCAAATGCAGCAGGCTCTGATTAAGGAGTTCTCTGACCCAGAGTCAGAGCAAGGACTGATTACTGCCATGGACCTTAAACAGGGCAGACAGGAAACCACACAGGCTTACTACAACAGGCTCAGACAGGCCTACTTCGGAGCACGGAACGAGCCAGGAATGGAACAGGATTTCAACTTCAAAATTCTGTTCCTCCGGAACCTGCACCCAACAGTGAGCCACCACTTGGGGGTTCTGGCTTGCCCACGGACTATGTCCACCCAACAGCTGCGAGATTTGGCCCATAAGGCCTATGTTAAACAAAAGACTGCTTCTGAAAAGACAGGAAAAAACCCCACAATCTATCCTGTCACTAATCAGAGTTCTGAACTTGCTCTAGAGGGCGCCGAGCCAAGCCACACTGACAAACCTGTCAACACAATGTCAAGGTCCTTCCCAACCAGCAGAGAGCAGCATGGCCATGGTGGTGCCCGTCCTAAGCACCAGTATGAGCGCCCCGAGAGATCCTGGGACAGGTCACAACCACCCCTCAACCGAAGGGGTGGAGCCACATGGGAAGCCAAGAGACGGCCCAAGGGGAACCGACACTCACAGACACAAGCACCAAGCTCGGACTGCCAGCAGCAGAACCCCTCTCAACAGGCCCTGGACAAGCCCAAATATAAACCATCCACAGAACAGAACCAGAAAGCTACATCTGAATCAGCAGAGATCATGAGACTTTTAAAGGAACTCCTCCAAGAAAAGCACCATAAGGGAAAGAAAAGGGATGAGTCAGATCAGCTATGACTAAGCATTAGCTCTGACCCCAACGCCCACTCAGAGTCCCCTCAAAATGAACTTCCCAACCAGATCACTGCTAATCCACTGTTAACCACAGAACCAGATATCTCATCACCAAGTGGTGACATCACTCAACCACCTCAGCTGACTGTGGAACCACCAGAACCAGCCAACATCCCGCAACACACCTCCAGCCAGGACTGCAAAGTACCAGAAAGTGCGGTTTTGGTGGTCTGCCTCCCTGACGAGCCACACAAGACCAGCTCTGACTGCTTGCCAGTCACCACACAAGCCCCAGTGCCGAGACTCCTAGGGAACCTAATCGAAAGGGGGGTGGCCAAAAAACTCTACCTGGCCATCACATTAGAAAATGAGGTGAGACTGGAGGCCCTGGTGGACACGGGAGCTGACCTCACTTTAATGTCTAGCCAACTTTTTGACAGACTTCAAAGTGAAGCCAAGAGACAGAATCGAACTCTTAACTATCAGAGGTGTGTGCTGAATGTGCAATCCTACAGCCAAAATGAGGTCCAACTTGAACAGGTAGCTCCAATTCACCTGACCATCGGCCCTATGAACTTTGTGCACCCTGTGTACATTTCTCCATTGGACACATATCCTCTCCTCATTGGCAAAGACCTGCTAGATCGCTTTGAGCCATTGCTAGATTTTAAACAACTGAAAATCTGGGCTCAAGTGCGAGAACCTCTGCCTCCTCAGTCACCAAGACCACCCCAGACAGACTGTCAGGTCACAAAGGTCGCGGGAAATCTCGCCGCCAGCCGCGGGAACGTCTCGGCCCAAGAGCAAAGTTCAAGGTCGCTGCTCTGTACTTTCCAGTTAGCCAAAGACTCTGACACATACGGCCCCCACGTTAAGGGGGGCTTACAACTGAATGATGTCACAACAACAGACCCCATACTAGCACTGTGGGCAGACAATTCAGCCATCAGCCTCTCACAGTTCAATGCTCTCAAACAGCACACAACGAACATTCCTTTTGCTAACAAGCGCACACGATTCCCCTTGAATCCCTGCCCATCAGCTATGGTGACTGCCAAGGGCACCTGTGCCCTGAACTTGAGGTGGAATGACAGGTGTCTAACCCATTACTTCCTGGTCCTTCCAGACGCACCGCATGATGTCTACATCGGAGCAGACATTCTGATTCGCCTCAGGGCTCACGTGGACATGATCAATGAAGTGATATGGGCTCCAATGACCTCACAGCCACCCACAGTTCCTGTCAACCATGAGAACCTCCTGTCAGGCCAAACCATCCCTGAGGCCTGCACGCTAATCAATGAAAAAGAGACTGTAGTACCAGCTTACACCAAAGGGGTCGCTGTTCGACTCAACCTGCGAAGCGGCCAAGCTCTCAGCCACACCCTAGGCTTCTTCCAACCTTCACCCGAATGTGGGGAACTGGGCCTCACTTTGGAAGCCACACCCCTCGTTGAAGTGACATCTCGGGCAGTCTACATCTTGTTCAATAACTGCACGGCAACGGATGTCAGAGTGCCTAAGGCGTACCGTCTGGGTTGGCTAGTGAGTTATGACTTCCATGACTTTGAACTAATTCTACCAATAATTGGACCCATCTCAGATTCAACGATTCCAGAAGGAAGCTCGGGCCACACAATGTCAACAGCACCCTTCAAGATCATCACCATAACCTCAGTCATGCCAGTGGTCAAGGAGCAGGTGTGTAGAACAGAACTAACAGAAGACCAACACTTTGCCGTGTACACGGTCTCTAACCACTCCACCTGCATAAATGACAGCGTGACTGCACCTCTGACCGCCCACGGCACAGAGGAATTAACGACAGAAGAGCCATACCCAGGTTTTGAGACACAAGTCCAGCAAATTCTGAAAGATGCTGATGCCATACAGGAGGATGCAGACCGCCACAAACTCCGTCAAGTCCTGTACAAATACAAGGAATCATTTGCCAAGGACTCTTTAGATTGTGGCCTCACTAACCTCCATGTTGTGCGTGTCCCAACGCACCCAAAAGCTCCACCCACTTTTGTCAAGCAATACAAGATCCCCCTTGAATCGTACGAACCCGTACAGGAGATCATCAACTCTATGCTTGAGAAGGGTGTCATTCGTCCGTGTAACAGCACCTACTCTGCCCCCATCTGGCCTGTCATCAAATCAAATGGCAAGTGGCGGCCGACCATCGACTATAGGAAACTGAATCAACAGGTGCCATTGTCGCGATGGCCTATGACCCAGCTGGAACAGGAGATACCAAGAATCAGAGGAGCCACAATCTTCTCCACTCTTGATGTGGCCTCAGGATTTTGGACTATACCAGTGCATCCAGATGACCAACACAAGCTGGCTTTCACCTTTTGCAATCGGCAGTACACCTTCACCAGGTGCCCATTCGGCTATGCCAACTCACCAGCCGAATTTAACATCTTCCTCAACAAAGCATGCCCGGATGCCAGGGTAAGAGGGAACTTAATCTATGTTGACGACCTTCTGATGAAACACACGACGGTGACCGATCACCTGAAAGAAATTGACCACGTCCTGCACCAACTGACCGCCGCCGGTGCCAAGATTGCCCTCCACAAAGGACAATGGTGCAAAACCAAGGTCAATTACGTGGGCATACTCATCGGACCACGAGGTATTGAGCCACAAACCAGCCGCATCCAGGCCATTCAGAACATTAAACCACCTGCCAATGTCTCAGAACTCCGAAGTTTTCTAGGCGTGTGCAACTATTCAAGGCAGTTCATTGAGAACTATTCGGACATTGCACGCCCTCTCACTGCCCTTCTGAAAAAGGACTGCCCCTTCGCCTGGACAGACGAACAGCAAAATGCCATGAATGAGCTGAAACAACATCTGTGCATTGCTCCATGTCTGGCTTACCCAGATCCACAGAAGGAGTTCTACTTGGACGCTGGATTCTCCAGCCACTGCCTCAGCGCTGGTATATACCAACGGCATGACCAGGACAAAAGAGTGGTCGCATATGCCAGCAAGACTCTTCTTCACCCAGAGTGCAAATACTCAGACTGTGAGAAAGCCCTGCTCTGTACTGTATGGGCCATCCAGAGATTCTCCAACTACATCGGAGCACAGAAAGTGATCATAGAAACTTGTCACCAGCCTGTCACATTCCTCAACAGCCAGCGCATCCGCGACGGTGTGGTCACAAACGCACGCATAGCCACATGGCTCATGGCCCTCCAATGGCGCAACATAGAAGCACGATATGCTCAAAATCACAAGTCGGCGCTGGGAAACGGCCTGGCAGCCTGCCAAAGCTGCTCCGATGACACACCGACTGAGATCGTAGAAGCAGAAAGGCCCCAACCACCGCCACCTACCTGCCACAGGTATTTTGACGAGAATGTCTGCCAAGGCATGCCCACAGCCTACGTCGATGGATGTTCCTACAACCACGAGGGCATCCTAAAGGCAGGTGCTGGTGTTCTCTGGCTAAATGATCGACCCTGCCCACCACAACACTTCAAACTGGGTCCACAATCATCACAATATGCTGAGATAGCAGCTATTCTCATAACCCTGCAGATAGCATCAACCCATAACATCAGAGAACTGCTCATCTGCACAGACTCCAACTATGCCAGACTTGGCTTCACATGCCATCTTCCAGGCTGGAAGCAAAATGGTTTCAAGACAGCAAACAACAAACCAGTTAAACACCAACACCTGTTCCAGGCATGCGACGACATCACAAGTGAACATGATATGATCGTCTACTGGAAGAAAGTGAAAGGACACTCAAAGCAACCTGGTCCAGACAAGGACCTCAACGACCAAACGGATGCCCTAGCCAAAGCAGGTGCACTACACGGCGAGTTATGGTCTCCACCAACCCACCAACCCACCCTTAACGTGGCAGCCATAACCCGCAGCAAACACACTCAACCCACCACAATGCCCACCTCACAGCCGCTTACGCTGGCTCCTCAAATCTCCACTAATGACATTGCCGACATGCAAGCTTCTGACTCCGCCATCAAAACCATCCTTCACCACCTCTCTGACCCCTCCAGCCACCCTATCACACCAGATGAACTTGCTGCTGCCCCAAGCCTCAAACGGCTATACCACGTAACACACATGCTGCGTGTGATAAACAACATCCTGTTTTATGCCCCTGATGACCTCACTGCACCAAGGCTTGTGGTGCCACACTGCCTAAGGGGGGTGATGCTGATGTATGCTCACGACGCACCATGTGCGGGACACCACGGCACAAGAGCCACTTATGAGACACTTAAACAAGTGGCATACTGGCCCGGCATGCAGCAAGATGTGGCAGAGTACGTGAAAGGATGCCTTGTCTGCTGCCAATTCCAACCGTCTAACCCAAACCACAGAGCCCCACTGCAGCGCAGAGGAGTCACGTTTCCTTGGTCAGACCTTCAAATTGACTGGGTCGGACCCTTACCCAGGTCAACAAGAGGCAACAAGTATTTCCTCACAGTCGTGTGCCAGTTCACAAAGTGGGTAGAATGCCTCCCAGCACCCAATGACACTGCTCAAACTACAGCATACCTCCTGTTGAATCACATTTTCTCCAGGTTCGGGCTGCCGCTGAGAGTCAACTCAGACAGAGGCACCCATTTCACAGCTGAGATCATGCAGCAGATTTGGAAACTCCTGGGAGTACAAGCACAACTGCACATCAGTCACCATCCAATTTCTTCGGGCCAAGTGGAACGGACGAATCAGACAGTGGTCAGCATGCTAAGAAAATATGTGTCTGCTAACCAAAAGGACTGGGATGTGAAACTGCCCCTGGTGCTCATGGCTATCAGAGCAACTCCACAAGAGTCAACAGGTGTGCCTCCCTTCGAACTAATGACAGGCCGGCAAATGACATTGCCCTTGCACCTGCTGTACCAGCCAGGAGACTCCAACCTTGTCACCGCCTACACCACTCATCAATACCTTGATGAACTACACCGGCATTTGAGAACCACATTTGCTTTTGCCCAACAACGACTCCAAAAGAGCGCAGAAGGCCAGAAAGCATACTACGACCGGAAGGCGTCACACAAAGAACTGGATGTGGGCGACAGGGTCTGGTACCACAGCTACGCACAGCCTCCTCAGACAACCTCTCATCGGCTATCAAAGAAGTTTCTGCCACACTGGACAGGACCGCATGAGATTGTGGACAAACTCTCCCCTGTTGCATATCGGATCA